TCAGCATTATTGTTGTTGTGTACTGTGGAGTTGGAACCATCTTGTAGCTGACCCTTCTGTGGGTTTTCAGAGACAGTTAATCGCACAGGAGGAGATTGCCCATTCTTCTCCTGTGGAGCAGCTGGTGGATTTGAACCACATTCCTACAAGATTGTAATACAGCTTCTTACCATTAGGCTACCAGAGCTGTATTAATATATTGGAGTGTCAGAGGCAGTGAGATTGGCACAGGACAGAGCAGAGTTTAGGGCTGTTATACATAGGGTCACTATGAGTTGCAAGCGACTTGACGGCACATAACAACAACAACATGACTATTTTATGGCAAAAAGAGCTGATATATCTTGAAGGAGGTCTTTTCCCTCCTCATTCCCCAAACACAAATAGTGATCAGGGTATCAAAGCCACCAGGCCCCCTCTCTCTCCACGTCCCTCTTCAGTAGCCTCCTCTGTGTGGAAGGAAATCGGCTCTTACGCCCACTCTCCTCTGTACCCTGCTGTGCTTTATTCTTTGAGCATACACTTCACCGACTCTCAGGCTAGCTCCTGGTAGTCAAGATTTTAAAAGCCACCCCCTTTCATCCTCTTTCCTCCTAAACATTTTCTCTCACAAGAACTTGACTCTTAAAGTCAGAGCTTCCACAGTTCTGCTTTGGATTTCCAATCTGGAAATCAAACTCTGTGAATGTTGGGCTTCAGGATGGAGGAAGGGAGGAGGGGGTCTTGGTGGTAGAAAGATGAGGAACTGAGGCTCTGGGCTTGGAGGGTTTGTAAATAGATCATCATGATTCTCCACACTTGTCGAGCCCATAGGAGGGAAGGACTGAGGGAGAGACATCGGTCAGAGTCCAGGAGACAGGTCCATGTATGACAGGATGGAGGTGGGGCGCACCCAGTGAGCTATGCCTCACAAGAAGCGTTCATTCAGAGCGGGGTAGATTTGGACCAAGAATCTGAAGCCGTGGTAATGATCTCATCTCAGTTCAAGTTCTGTTTAAGACCAGTGGGTGTTCTGTGAGGGTCAGCTTACGCTGCTGATGGTGTTGGGCACAGGCAGGGCAGACAGGAAGGGACATTGTAAATGTGTGCGCGAGCTGGAACAGGCAGCAGGCGACACTGGCCTCTTCTGACCTTTGGGAGACTGTGCAGAAGTTTCTTTCCAGAGGGGAGCCAGCCCAGTGGGATCCTAACCACCTCTCCACATGGGCTCCGTGGAAGGTTTGCCAGCTCGGCGCTGCTCAGCTTGCAGGCGGGGCTCGTGGAAAGTGCAGACCTGCCTCCTTCATCTCGGGTTTTCTCTGCTTTGTTGGCTACCTCCTACCTTACCACCAACTCGCACAGCTAAGCTGTGTCCCCTGGCCACCCACGCCCACACAGCCTGGGAGGAGAGTGCGGTTTGGGCCTCATTATTTACAGATCCTTCCGGGGAACTGTGAAAACCCTGCTGTGCTGTAACTAAGGTTTGCTTCACGTACAGAACAGTCTTTTAAAGTTGTGGTTTTTTTTAAGTCTTTTTTTTTTTTTAAAGCTGGTAGAAAACCTATAATATTTTAAGTATTGTTTCTGCAGGTTCCCCACTTCGCCCCCCGGTTAAACTATAAATGAAACCCTCTAGTCATAGGACTTTCAAGGGGCTGCAAAGCCCAGGCTAGCCTCCTCTTCTACTTTATATAGGAATGTTAAGTGCATTATTAGGAAGCTCAAGCTCAGAAGATTGAAGACTGCCTTCTATATGGGTTGCACCTCTGTTGTTGTTGTTATGTGCCGTCGAGTCGCCTGCGACTCATAGCGACCCTATGTACAACAGCCCTAAACTCCGCTCTGTCCTGTGCCAATCGCACTGTCTCCGACACACCCATCCCAATTACCCCAGTCACTGAATCAATCCAACTCATAGAGGGCCTTCCTCTCCTGCGCCGTCCCTCCACCCTCCCAAGCATGATGTCCCTCTCTAAGGACCAGTCTCTCCTCACAACATGTCCAAAGTATGTTAGACGGAGCCTCAGAATCCTTGCCTCCAAGGAGCCACCCGGTTTAACCCTTTCCAGGACAAATCTGTTTGTTTTCCTAGCCGTCCATGGTATTCTCAATACTCTTCTCCAGCACCACATCTCAAAGGCATCAGTTCTCCTTCTATCCTCCCTGGTCATTGTCCAACTCTCTGATGCATAACAAGTGATTGCGAAGACACAAAAATCGCTCAACATTCGTTCTGGCAGGCCGCTCAGAGGAGGGGTTAAGGCAACCGGCCAGCTGAAACCTGGGCTGCTTAGAAGCCAGCTTAGAAGCCATCATTGCACCTCTACATCAAGAAAACAAAGATTACCACCAGGCCAACAGGCAACATCATGATAAATGGAGAAAAGATTGAGGTTGTTAATGATTTCATCTTGCTCAGATCCACAATCAGCACAGTTAGGAAATCAAATGACAAGTTGTATTGGGAAAATCTGCCTTCAGGGACCTCTCCCGAGTGCTAAAGAGCAACAGCATCAGTCTAGGATCTAAGACGTGCCTGATCCAGGCCATGAACTTCTCATTTGAGAGCTGGACAGAAGATTTGTGTGCTGGAGAAGAGTATGGACCATACAACAGGCTGCCAAGGAACAAACAGGTCTGTCCTGGAGAGGGTGAAACCAGGTTGATCCTTGGAGGCAAGGATTTTGAGACTCTGTATCACATGCTTGGGGCATGTTGCCAGGAGGGACCAGTCCTTGGTGAAGGACATCGTGCTTAGAAGGGTAGAGTCAGTGCAAGAGAGGAAGACCCTGGATGAGATGGATGGACACTTTTCTGTGGCAGTGGAGTCTGATGTGTCAGAGATGGTGAGATATGTCTTGGGAAAAGTGCACCCAGAGTGCTCCTTGAAGGCAAAGATGATAAAGCTTCATCTCACATACTTAAGGTGTGTTGCTAGGAGAGGCTATTCCTTGGAAAGGAACACTATGCTTGGAGAGGAGGAGGGTCAGCAAAAGGGAGGAAGACCTTCAACAAGAGGGATTGACATAGTGACTGCAGCAATGAGCTCCGTCTGTCAGAGATGATGAGGGTGGCACAGGCGAAGACAAGATTCAGGTCTGTTGTTCACGGGGCCTCTATGAGTTGTACTCAACTCAACAGCACTTACCACCACCACCAATATATTATGCCAGAGCAATGTTTTCTGGGGTCATTTATAGCCTCTGAGAACTCAATGAAGAGACAGTTATGAGTTGTTTCTGACTCAATAGTAAATATATGTCTGTGTCTATATAAGTCAGAGAGAGAGACAGAGAGAGAGAATATGCTCTATTTGTTTCAAGGACATGTTTCATGTGCTTTGAGTGACAAGTCTCAGTCTTGTAGGTCAGAGCTCCAAATAGAGATTTCTGGGAGGCAGGGTCTCAGGGGCTGTCTTTGGAGGCGGCAGGCTTCAAAGGCTTCCACATCAAGGTCCTTATTGAGAAGCAGGACAGGAGATCCCTGGCTTCTGGAGATGGACCTGCCAGCTGCTCGCTTCTGAGCCTGCAATATCCAAAGTCATGGCTGAGAAGCAAAATTGAAGACAGCTAGCTGGGGATACTGACGAGTCTAGCTTGAGCAAGAACAGCAGACTACAGGTTGAAGTCTGGAGACCATGTGCCAGCTAGCATGTAGACATAACAAAAAGCTCTCTACCTTTTTGCTAGGAAGGCCAAACAGAAATACCATTAGGGTCTCACCCTTGAGGAGACCTGGCCTTAGTAAAGATAAAGCTAACCATTTCTTTAGAGGGAGCTCTGGTGGTCTAGTGGTAAGAAGCTGTGTTGCAATCTCGAAGGCACGTGGTTTGAATCCATCAACTGCTCCATAGGAGAAGGGTAGGAAATTTCCTCCTATGTGATTTACTGCTTCTGAAAAGTCCCTGGAGGGTCAGGTTTGAGTCGGTTTTGACTCAACAGCACACAACATATCTTTATAAATCCTGTAATCCTGCCTTATTATCACCTGAGTTTAGCATTGACAGCATTTAGAAGAGCTGTATTACACAGAGGGCCACACGGTAGTTATGGAGGAATGAAATGGTGCTGTCTGTTTCGCTCTCATCACCACGTTAGCTGCGCTCTAGAAAGTTTGATATCTTGTGCCTGCCCTTGCATCCAATTGAATATATTTTCTAAAGTCCATGTGACTCATGGGTTATTGAGAAATATACTATTTAGCTTTGTGATTTTCATGTCATCTTCCTATCCCTGTTTTGATTCTAATTGGAGAGCACACTGTAGCTGATTTAAATTCTTTTAGGTTTGAGGAGTTTTGTCTTATGACCTGGGACATGGGCCATTTTGCCATGTGCTTTGTGAACTTTGAAAAGAATGTGTATTTTGCTGTTGTTGGGTGATGTGTTCCTTAAAGAGATTGGTTGATGATTTCCCCCCTTACATCCTTGTTGAGATTCATTTCTCTACTTCATAGTTGCTCGACTGAGACAGAGGCGCTAATATCTTTAACCACATCATTCCATTCTCTGGGTCTACCAGTTTTTACTTCCTGTGTTTTGCGTCGATGAGTTTGGCTATGATTACACTTTGTTTGCTATGATTTATGACACAGTTTCTATGATTGTTATGTACCTTTGGAGGGTAACCTCTTTATCATTCTATAAAGCCCTTATATCTGGTAGTTTTCTTTGCTTTTAATTGTGCTTTATGCAATATCAACATGACCAATCCTGCTTTCTTTTTTTAAATTAAAATTCATTTTATTGCATAGTTTCATTGTTCATTTATAATTAAAGCATTTATTATAAAACAAGGATAAAAATCAAAGCATGGACTATTTAAAGAAAAACTGGAGAAAGTAAATTTTTCATTGTGGGAAATTAATACAATTTTATATTGATTATTGAAACAAGTTGATAGACCAGGAGGTCGGGTGGGGGATTGTTGTTGTGTGGAATTATTTTCTTTTCAGAGTATGTCGTATATACTGGAAAGATTTAGGACCCTGCATCCACTACATATTTTAGAATTCAGTTAATCTCATTTTACTAAAAAGACATAGGACATTGTTTTACTCATTGCCATTATTATAGTTGCACCACTGTACCCGATGACTTTATTATATAGATAGGATGGTAAGCCTTTCAGGTGAATGTTGTTTTCCACATACACGTATCGTAGTTCTGGAGATGGTCCTAAATCAAGTGGCAAAAATGTTAGACGGTTTCCAGCCATGGAGAGCTCGCTGAGGTTCGGAAGCTGGCAAAGATGGCGAGGTACACACCACAGATGATTTCGGTCCACTGTTAGGTACTGCAGAGAAAGGCACAGGTTTAGCCTCTCTGGTAAAGTGAGCAAACGATTGGTAGAGACATCTAATGTCTGCAGCTGCTTCAAGTCACCAGGCTTTGAAGGTAGAAATTGTAGTTGGTTATTTGCTAATCGAAGATGACGTAATGCTCTCAGATGACCAATTTCCGGGCAAACAATTTCTAAGGCATTATCACTAAGGTCCAGATACTGGAGTTTTACAAGGGAACCAATGGCTTCAGGAATCACAACTATGTTATTTGAATTAAGGTAAAGTTCCACAAGGTTTGGAAGCTTCTGAGGAAGATTTTCTGGCAAGGTCGTAAGAGAATTCCTTTTCATGTAGAGTCTCTCTAGGTACTGTAGACCCTCATCTTTCAGTAACTCCAGTGGGAAATGGTGCAGATTCTTGTAATTTAAAAACAAATATCTGTGCTTTTCCAGTCTTGCCACAAAGATCATCTTACAAAGTTCTGATGCCATGCTTGAGTCTGTCCCATCAGGTCAAGCTACAGCACCACATCTTGTCAAAATTGGTCCATTTCTTGGAGCCGGAAGGGACAGAGCTTCCCAGTGCAGGTGGCGCAGGAATGTCAGTGGATGGCAGGCAGGCGTGAGGCCGGAGCCCCTGGTCGCTTTCTTTTGATTAATGTTTCTATAACATATATTATCCATACTTTAACTTCAACCTGCCAATATTATTCTGGTTGAAGTGAGTTTCTTATAGACATCACATAGCAGGGTCATGTCTTTTAATTCATCCTGTCAATCTCTGTCTTTTTACTTGTGTGTTTATATCATTTGAAGTCAATGACATAATTGATATATTAGAGTGTAAGGCTGCCATTTTATTTTTTATTTTCTGTTTCTTCTCTCTGTTTTATGTTGCTTTGTTTTCTTTCCCTCTTTCCTTGTGGATTATTTGTCTTGAAAGAGTCCCTTATTGGGCTTTTTTAAAAACATTTTTTTTTTTTTGCTGAACCCATTTGTATTTTTGCATTACTGGCTGCTTCCACTCCAAGTCTGTGGTGTATGAGGCCAAAAAATCCCCCAAAACAAACCAAACAAAAACAACCCCAGAGAATCTGAAATATGTAATTCTTTATGTTTTAAAGGCCTTAATTGGCCTATCTTTTTCTCTCCATCTTTCAGATTCTTATATTTATTTTACATATAATATCCACCTTGTGAGATTGCTCCACAGGTGAGGTTTATTTCTATTTACCTGCTAATCTGTGAGAAAGCTCTGGTGGCTTTGTGGTAAGGAGTTGCACTGCCAAACCAAAGGCAGGTGGTTCCAATCCACCAGCTGCTCTGCAGGAGACAGAGGGGCAAGCTCCTCCGTGTGATTTACCACCTTTGAAAATCTACTGGAGGGTCAGCTATGGCTTGGTTCTGAGTTGACGGTACACAGCAACAATAACAACTAATCTATGGTGAACGACTTTACTTTTTTACATAATAAGTTCTCTTTCTAGTTATGACATCTCTTTCCCACAGCACCTTCTTCAGAATCAAATTTTTTCAAAAAACCTACGAACCCTGACTGAAGAGAGGGCCCAAATTAATAAGATAAACACTTGTGCGTACTCATTAACCTGTAATGAAGAGTTTTGGATGTTTTCACCACTTTTAAAATATGTCAGTTCCCTATTCTTCAAGTCACAAGCCTTCTTCAGACTGTTTTTTATAACAGAAAATTATTACCTGTGCAATGCACTGAGTGGCTAACATGCTTCCTAAAACGTACGCCATGGAGTGAAAGTCCTGTTTTCTGATAGGAAGACTGAGCACAGGACAGCTTTCTACAGAGCAGAGCAGGAAGAGATACATCACAGATGATTTCATTGACAACTAGTAAATACTTACATTGCCTCGTGGTTCATTTAAATAACCGACATATGGCTGTAGTCCATCTTGAACAGGCTCATGGTAACTAATTTTAACATTATTACTTAATGCTTTGTTTTTTCTTTCCTGTAATAGAAGGAACTGCTCTGCAGGCCTCCTTCACGGGCAAGATTCCCACATGGGGGGCTATGCCTCTCATGCTAACACTCTGTACTCATAATTTGGAGGATTTTGTGTTCAGCTTTCCTCACAACAGGAAACAAGGAGAATTTACAAAGAATCCACGTTTCTTAGCCTTCCGGCCTATGTGCCAGGCAGTGGAATCAAAGAATAAGTAGATTTTAAGTTTACAACGTTCTGATAACTAGAAATTTCGAACATTTCTTCATGTGTTTGTTTGCCATCAGAATGTCTTCTTTGGTGAAGTATCTATTCATATCCTGTGCTCATTTTGTGATTGGGTTCTTTATCTCTTTCTTGTTGAGGTGCTGGAGTATTCCATAAATTTTAGATATAAGTCCCTTATCAGATAGGTCATTGACAAGTATTTTTCCCCCAGTCTGTGGGTTTCCTTCTTACCCTGTTTGAGACTTTTTGATGTGCATAAATTGACAACATTCTAGACAGAAGTTTCTTCTTCTGGCCTCTTAACTCTTTCATCTCCCGCAAAAATGAATACAGTGAAAAGGGAACAATATTCTCTGAGAATAGAGGGCAGAGCTAAGAACTTGTATTGCTGTCAGGTGCTGCCGCGTCCATTCCAACACACAGTGACCCAGTGCACAACAGAACAACGCGTTGCCCGTCTGTGTCAGCTCACGCTTGTTGAGACGCGTGAGCCTGTTGCGGCAGTCACGGTGTCCGTCCGTCTAGAGGAAGGCCTTCCTCCCATTCACTGACTCCTTACGTTGGCAAGCGTGATGCAAACCCTAAAAAGAGCCAAGTTCATTGCCGTCAACGAGGAGGTTTTGACTCATGGTAACCCCTCCCTCTGAAGCTGTAAATCATTCCAAGAGAAGCAGTGAATTCGAACTGCTGAGGTTCCTGTTAGTGGTCCTCTGTGTTATACACTCTGCCCTCAGGGCCCCTTAGCGTGGTGTAACTCAGTGTCATCTATTCAGAACTGACTTGCAGCTCAGGCAGTAATTAATTCCTTTTAATGTTTAACTTGAAATGAAATATTGGTGTTTCCTATTCAACTAAATGGCTGTTAGCTGATCAATAGTTGTGCTCTAAATTTTTGTAATACAGAAAGTTCATTCTATAGCATTGTCTGTTTACAATGATAAACTCAAGTACTATGTTGTTGTGTACCGTCGAGTTGGAATTGACCCATAGTTGATCCTCTGGAGGGTTTTCAGAGGCATTTAATCGCACGGGAATAGATTGCTTTTCTTCTCCCATGGAGCAGCTAGTGCCCTCGAACCGTGTGACTTTGGGATTGCAGCACAGATTCTTGCCACCAGGCTACCAGAACTCCATCAAGTAAAGGTTTATCCAGTATTTATCATGTGTTACGAGTCTCTAGGTGGCACAAAAGATTCAGTGCTCAACTAATAATAAGTTAGTGATAAACTGTTAATGATAAAATGTCGTTACTAATAAAAAATGTTAGTGATTTGAATGCACCTAGTGGTGCCGCAGAAGAAAGGCCTGGCTTTCAGCATCCTAAAGGTCACAGCCTTCAAAGTCCTGTGAGATGCAGTTCTACTTTGCAGCACCAGGGGTCACTGTGAGCTAGAATTGAGTTGATAGCTCGGGCTTGTTGGATGATGTGTTAGAATTTTTTGTTTTGTTACAGTGACTGTGTATTCCTTCCACCTTGTTTTGCTGCTTCCTGTATCATTCAAGATTTTGTCTGTAGAATTCTTCAGTGTAGCAACTTGAGGCTTGGATTTGTTCTTCAGTTCTTTCAACTTGAGAAAGGACAGGAGGGTTGTAGGAGCCCTTTGACTTGGTTGCTAGTAAGTGACTATGACAGCTAAGAAAAGAGGCCGCAGGGAGGTGAAGAGTCCAGGGGACGGGCGTGGGGGTCAGGTGGTAAGGCTTGAAGGAGTGAGAAGTTAGGATGCCCCAGAGCAAAACCACCAAACCACCTAAAGAATTTAATGGTGAAGGAAAATAGAGCTGAGGATGAGATAATGGGGGAAAGTCATATGCGCTCTTCACTTGATTTACACCAAGTAAGGTCAGGTTCTCCAGCGGTTCCTTCCACAGATGTAGTCGATCTGATTCCTATGCATAC